CTACGATATTGGAGCTAGTCAAGTTTCTCACTATCCGGGAGAGACGGCGATTCGAATCGGTTGCAACCAGCTGTGTAGTATTCCTAACACAAACCTAGGACTACTGACCACTGTAGCCTTAGGTCACCTTTGGTACAACTCAGATCCACATTTCACGAGTTCGATCAGCGCCGCACAATCAGGGACAACCAGCTGCTAGGACGTTCAGGCCTAGCCTGCCCTTGGCTCTTGTCTGGCTCCCCACACATCCTTATTACCTTCAGTGTGCACACTCTTATAGAAGGAGACTCGGCCTAAATTGAGCTACTCGGCTTTATGGTCGAAACGAGTTATTCGGCTAGCTAAGTGAGAGGCATGCATTCAATCTTGACAGAAGTGCCAACAATGGTATGATCCTTAATCGACATGGACGGGACCAACATAGCCAACCCAACACCATTGCATATAAGTTCCCGTCCGGTCTCCACTTAATAACACCCCATGGTTATTTTCCACGATAGCAATATATAGCCAACCGTACTCCGGTATCCACCTATATCTCGCAGGTGACAGGAAATCACCTGACTTCTACTGGTCTAAGCATGGCTAAGCATATGTTCGATCCTAAACCTACATAGGGTTCAAGGTATATTTCTGGACAAGGTAGTTCTATGCACCAAGTGTTTCCAACTAACTCTTATAACCTAATGCATCAAACATAAATGACTCAAGTGATATTTGTAAAAACATAGGAGGCTTAGAATGCTTCAGGGCTTGCCTTTCAGAAAGGAGATAGGCCCATGATCGGGACACTCTGATAATTCCTTAGGAGCCTGCTCCTCGCTTTCGGGGGCTACCTGCTATGGTGCCTCCTAATTCTTCTCCTCTTCTACCTCAAACTCCAAGAGTCGTAATCAGGGTTTATTTCCTATTTGTTCCAGATAACACAATATATCATTGATATTGTAAGAATTGCTTTTGTCCCACTATGGATGAGGAGTAGGCCATGGGCAAGGCACTTCCATTTATATATCTAATCAATGATGCTTTTGTGGGTTGTGATCATAGACTGGCAAGTATTTGAACAATGGTGTGAGATATTGGTTTAAAAACTACTTTGCTTCCGCTACTGCTTTATTTGAACTTGGTTTGTAATAACTTTAATCGCACTCTGATGTATGGCAAGGTATTTGTGAACTCTATGTAACATGTGGCATGTATATTGAATCAATGTACGATCTTGGTTGTATGTTGGCGATAAATCAAGACACTTCGTGGTACTCGACGGACTACCGGGTTTATATGGGCTCAAGTATGATAGTGTGATTGCTTGTGGGCTGCCATTGTATTTGTGCTCTTATAAATTGGACGGTTCTATTACACCCTCGGGCAACTCTGTGCACGGCGGCGCGACGAGCAGCGGCACAGGGTGGCTTTGCCGGCCACCTGGGACCTGCGTGGACCCATCAAGCGAGTCGGTCGCCATCCCCAACCTAAACTACTATGCCGGGTGGTGGTGAGGGGTGGCAGGGCTCACTGGTGAGGGCTGCAGCGATGCGCGGCCATCCACGATGGCGGTGTGACCATTCTGGTGAACTAGGGCAGCTATAGACCTAACCAACTAGCGGGTGAGCATCAGGAGCTTACCGTGGACTCAGCCAAAGTGACAGTTGGAGTAGAGGATGGCGGAGGAGGGCTGGACGCGTGCGACCGAGCCGTGCGATGGCACACTGCGGCGGACACATCCGCATCAGCGGCGCCGGGGTAGCGGTAGCGGTTCGGCTGATGAGCATAGGGTGAAGAGGGAGTCAAAGCGGAGCTAATGGTGCAGTTGTACCGGCCTCTTACGGCACCGTTGGGGGAGTTGGCACCCGCGCCGGACAAGCGCGACCTTAATGGCCCGGCGGCGGGGGAAGTGGCCAAATTGAGGCTTGGTCGGGCTCAACTCAAGGCGGGATAGGGTCGGGCGGCTAGGTGGCTTAATGGCGAGGCCGTGGATGAGTTGAATCAAGTTGAGGTGATCTCTCTAGTGGATTTTGTGGGCGCGGCTCAGACAACAAAGACGGCAGGGAGGAGGGTAGGTCCGAGCTCTGGCAGTCCTCGCCTTGGCAGCAAGCGGTAGGCTAGACCCAAGACAGCACCTGCGCGCTCGCTATGAGACAACGCAGCCAGAAAACGTGCACGTGCGTAGGCAGTTGGGGAGCGTGGCATGTGCGGCCACAGCGCCATTAAGGCGAGGTGACGGCGCATAGCAGCAGGGAGCCAGCCCACGTGCACGCAGCGACAAGGCGAGCAACAGCAACACAACATAGTGCCACAGCAGCAGTAGCAGCAGCAGCACCATGCGACAGCGACCAGAGGCGGCCAGTGGCCCATGGTCGGCCAATAACGCGGCAGCGAGGTGGGGCAGCAGCACGACGGCTAGCAGTGACTAGGTCATGGACGGCCTCGGCCAGCCAACACGCGACAGCACGGGTGCGCACAGGTGGCCAAACATGGTGACGTCACGCTCCTGAGTGTGGTGACCGCGCCCACCCGGCCAACCAGCCCGAGATGATGTTCATGCACGTATTTTAAAGCATTTGCCAAAACTAAATCGATTTGATTGAGGCTCGACCACCTAAACCATGCTAAAGAGGGTACATCAAATGACCATACTGAACAAAAGCATAGCACTGACCTTTAACTAAATTTTCCAAAATTAATTCACCAACATAGCCTTGTCACATTGTTTTCAAACTTAAGGATTTTTTTAAGTCTTGAGCTAGATTTGATTTCAAGTTCCATTTCTAAGCTGTTAGAAATGCTAGCTAGCAATATTATTTTTCTACAGCAAGAGTTGCATTGTGATCTACAAAGTTTGTACTTCAAACCTTATTTAGGTGCCACACACATGTTCTATAATACTTTTGCTTAATAAAAATTGGTTTTCAACCCTACTCGATATACATGAGCTATTGAATCAACTTTAATTTAGCATTTTTATTAGTCATTTTATGTTACAAGAAATTGATCTACACGCTTTATCATATGCTTTATCACATAAGCATGACGGTCATGACATGGTTTAGTGATTTATTTAGGGTGTAACACCGAGGGTATTACAAGTTTGCATCAAACTGCTCTCTTAAATGCTTCAGAATTATTTCTTGATCCATTTCTCCCTCCTCCACAATGAAGACACCACAGTATCAAACCCAGTCCATAGCTTGAACCTTTCTTCATCTTGAACTACATCAATGTGGAAAAATCCTAAGCCTTTGTTAGCACTCCCCATACACTGAACCACCTGTTCATGCTCATCCCACCTAGGGCACTTCTCAGCAATGTGGTCCTGTTTGAAGCACACAAAACAAGCCCTTGGTTTACTGTAGGTTGAGATGAAATGGCCCAACTCACCACAATTGTAGCAGACCACTTGAGATGCCTTGTTTCCTCCTGGCTTCTCCACCATCTCTGCCTCAACAAACCCTTGCTCACCAGAACCTAAAGCTTGAGATTGTTGCCCCTAAATTGGTTGTTGCTGAGCAGAAGGTCGGGGCTATGGTTGCATAGGTTGTTGGCGTGCTTGTTGCTGCTGCCCTTGTTGATTTCTGCCCTTGTTACCCTGCAGACCACCTCTCCCACCAGGACACGGCCCCTGCCCCCTTGGAAACTGATTGAACTGACTAGGAACTTGATGCTGACCTTGGCTGAAGTAGTGTTTGGCAGGAGCCTGATTAGGGAAGTAGCCAAATGGACCCAGAGGGGGCGGGTGGAACGAGCCCATTGGCGGTCCCATCGGCGGCCTCATCGGCGGCGGGTAGAATGGCGAGGGCTGGAACCAACCTCCATCTCCCCAACCCCACTCCTCTGGATTCCTCGGTCTAGGGCCTCTTCCTCCTCTTCCTCGACCTGCCATCCCCTCCTTCACCTTCTGCACGAATGACTTCTTCTTCCCTCTCCCCAGATATCGGAGGCGAAGCTGAATTTCTTTGGAGATCCAACCCAAAGATCACACGGCCCGATGGGGAAGCAATCACTTGGTTAGAACTGTTTGGAATCCTAGATATCCTTGCAGATCCATACTAGGTCCCTCCCCTTCCTCGCCGCATCAGGAACCCTAACACGACTTCGTCGGGGTGGGGAGTTGGTGGGGATGAACCAAAGTTGCCCAAAGAAATCTTCAAACTCTCCTTCCTCGTCCCCGATCCTTGCAGGATCCACACCGTTGGTGGGCTTTGCTTCTCTCCCAGATCGTGCCACCTGCCCAATCCTCCTGACGCCGCATGTCCCGCCATTGGGGCCCTTCTCGCAGCCGCTCTCGGGCATGTCGTGACTCTTCCCCGTGGGCCCTCCTCTGAGCCGAGGTGGGGAACCACGGACCCGACACTGAGACACTGGTGGGAGGTCGCGTGATGGCGGTTGGAGCCTGCAGCTCCGGTGGGTCGCCCGCGTCCGCGTTGCCCTGGTGTCACCTGAGTCGTCTGGAGACGTGGCTAACATTTTCAAAAGTGTTAAGTATTTGCAAAAGGTGTTGGCCAACATTTACAGCACTGTTATATGTGAGAGACAGCGATGTTATCGTTGTAACACTGGTGCCGTGGGATTTGGGGGCAAAATACATAAACTCAATATCCCCTTCTTTCCTAATTATAAGCCTTTTTTTTTTAGATACAATCATTTTTACTATGTATTTAAACATAGTATTTGATATGTATATAGAAAAGTTAAAATGTCTTATAATTTAAAATGAAAATGAAATGAGTAGTTCACAATTGAAATATTTCGTTTTTAATTCAAAATAATTAAAGAAACACTTCAAACTTCTTGCCTCGCCCAACAAAAAAATTCAAAATTCCCGTCTTATATATTATTTTCGAATGGATGGATGAACCTGAACGGCTGGGCCGCACCATTGTCAAGGTGCAGATTGTCATCGTGCTTGGGACGAACGCGACGGCGACTCTCCAATTGCAAAACCCAACCAAACCCCTCCTTCGTTTTCCCCCAAGGCCCGGAGACTCCGCCCGCTCCCTGCCATGGCTCCCGGTGCCCTAGCCCGCCTCCTCCGCCTTGCGCCCACCCCTCGCCTCGCGCGCCCCTTCGCCGCAAAGGCCCGCGCGTCTCGTCGGCCGCAGGAACCGGAGCTTCCGTCGGAGGACGACAACGACTTCGCCGGCGGCGAGGTTGCCGCCCCCACCGAAGGCATCGGCAGGCCGCTCGCCGAGGTGCTCAAGGAGCTCAGGAAGAGGGTTCCGGACTCCCTCGTGAAGACCCGCGTCGAGGATAATGGCTTCGCCATCAAGTACATCCCATGGTAAGTCACTCACCCGATCGGTAGCGATCACCCATGGAACCAACCTTTACTTCTATCTTGCAATGCTGAGAACGATTGGAACAGTTCGGACATTTGTACTCATTTAACCAGATTATGTCTTGCAGATTTATGTGCAAATATTAGGTTATGTTTGAGTAAGATACTGGGTCCATAAGTGGGTTTATGAGTAGGTGTCTTGGTTTCGATAATCAAAATATTTTTTTAAGGAGAGAGAGTCGATGGGTTGTTCTTCAAAAATAAGCACGTTATATATATTAGGCAGTTCTCTGAAGCGAGATATTAGTAAGAGATTTTTTTTATTATTATTATTGGTTCATGCCTTCAGTTCTATTATGTGTTCCCAAAGATGGAATTGATGATTTGTTAACCTCTGATCGATCAATGAAGAGTCACTCGATAGACAACAGATGCTGATTTCCCATCAGATGAGTAAACAATGCTGCAGATCTCACCCGACCACTCTGTAATGGATTGCAAAATGATAGTAGAACAAGAAAAGTAACTCCCTGACAGTTCAACCTCTCTGAACTTATGCCATCAAAAAAGAGGGCAAACAAATATCCTAATGATGATAAGTTTTCCTGGAGCATGTATGTTGAGAATTTTGTTCACAATGTGCCTGCAAGAGGTAGTTAGGACGAAAGTTGCCACACTCCTATAGAATATAAACTTGATCTATGGGCTTTCTAATTGAAGAGGTTGCTCCTGCAGCACAATTCTGTGGGAGCTGTCATGAACTGAGCATGATCTATGGGCTTTCTAATTGAAGAGGTTGCTCCTGCAGCACAATTCTGTGGGAGCTGTCATGAACTGAGCATTTGACAAACATAAAATAAACCGAATCTCTAATCAGATTTATTAAAGAGAATTTCACAATTTTGGCATTTTTATCTATTGACAACAGATCCTCCTTTGCAATCTGAGAGTCAGACCTTCTTTATGGTTTACGTTCAATAACTACTTTGGTTTTTACACCATGGTCATTTTATTTAGAGGAAAGAATGCTAGATTCATCAATAAGCTATATACGGATCATTTGATCCCATTGTGTTTTTTATTCTTTTAATATATATCCTTGTGATCTCACTTCTTATACCTCTTGCAGGCACATTGTGAACAAAATTCTCAACATACATGCTCCAGGTAAACTTCTCGTTATCAACTCATCATTAGGATATTTGTTTGCCCTCTTTTTTGATGGCATAAGTTCAGAGAGGCTGAACTGTCAGGGAGTTACTTTACTTCTATCATTTTGTAATCCATTACAGAGTGGTCGGGTGAAGTCCGCAGCATTGTTTACTCATCTGATGGGAAATCAGTGTCTGTTGTCTATCGAGTGACTCTTCATGGGATTGATGCAGAGGTACCTCTTCTCTTCCAGAAAATGCTTTTGTACATAAATCATTGATCTGAGGCCTGAGAATTTGTATGGTCTTATTATGGCTTAGATTTAGGTTTTGGCAAATAATAAGTCTGCTTTCATTTGTTTTCGACAATGTTCTGGTTAACCGTGACTATTGAGATTGTTGTTCACCAGTTAGATTTGCCAGTTCCCAGCTGTTATTTTGAAACTTCCTTTTCTGTATGCCAGTGTCTATCAATCCTCTGCTGTTGACGCTTAATTTTATTGATGATGAATTGTGGGTTTCTTTATCATAATTTTTAAAGTTTTAACTTTGCAAGTTTTGTATTGCATAGCATGTTATTATTTGGATCCATTTAGTTTCCTCTCTGTTGGCAGATATTTGTTTTCTGGACAAATTGGCTTTGTTGCTGCGTGTTAATTATTGTGGTACTTCTGCAAGCTGGCCATGCCTGTTTGTCTATGCCAAATAGCATTCTGCTCTTTTGGTAATGAAAGTCTTGAAAGATGCAAACAGAGGTCTCCTCATTTGAAGAGAATGGATCCATTTGGTGCTTGCTACTTTATTTCAGGATATATAGTCTTGTTGTACATGATTTTTTTTAACAATAGTACATAATTGAAGTTGTTGGAGAAACAAAATTAATATTTTACACATGCATGACAATGTGAGGATCATCAGTATTCCATAGTCAATGTAAACTCATCCCATTGTCGTTTTACTGCAGTAGCCATTAATGTTGAACTGTTAACTAGTTGACGGTTTCTCTGCGTAGTAGTTTTTGTTTAACATATATAATATATGACCAGACTAACATAAAGAGTGTATTGACAATGTTGCCTGCTCTCTCTGTTCTCTCTATCAGATCTGTAGAGAGGCCACTGGAACTGCTTCTGTTGATGATACAAGCTATGGTGATCCTGTACAGAAGGCAGAAGCTATGGCTTTTCGTCGTGCTTGTGCACGTCTTGGTCTTGGACTTCATCTCTACCATGAAGATATGTCATTAGATGACTAATGTTAGTGTTTGTGGCATGAGCTTTTGCATACTTCCAGTTTGTCGCGGACCATTGTCCCTTAATGGGCTACCCATTTGCACTGGACATGCTTTTTTTTCTTAAATGTGATATGGATGTGCAAGTGTTTGAAGTTTAGGCTGTCGTGGTATATGTAAGCTACTAAAGTACCAATGCAACTACCGTTCTGAGCTGTTTGCTCGTTAAGAAGCAGCTTGTTCCAATGTCTAAATTCCTGAGTACATGTTCATGAAAGCTTGATAGCTTTATTTTCTTTTTTTTCGATATTCTTTTAGCTGGATATTTTCATATATGTGTTAGTAGGTAGCACATTGGACGAAATGTTTTCATGTTAGTCATTGCTCCCATACTAAAGTTTTTTTTTCAACTGCAAGATCACTAAGTCTTTCACGGATCTCTTTTATTATGACAAATTACAATGCCTTTGCAGGATTATTAGGTCAAATTCTGTATTGTTTTTATATATTTTTCTTAATCGTAAACTGAATCGATTTGTCACTGTCCCTTCCAAAAACAAAAGGGGACAAAATTCTTCTGTAGTTTCACACTGATGATGTCCTATTTCAATATTTGTCTAGGACATCGGTCTAAAATGTCATGACATGTTTGCTTGGAATGTAGTTATCATAAACTGTTCATTATCTTCATCTTCAACTCTGCATATAGAACTTCTGAGGCCAGGTAAACTGTTTGTTTATATTTTTTTTTCTGTTAAACATGCATATTTAATGATCATAGCAGTATGAACATGACGACCTAGAGGCATGGCTTATTGTAGAACTCCTAAAACTCTAGGGCTTTGTTTGGATGACCATGTATCCACCTCAATCCATGTGAAATTCCACACCAAACCACTCCAACACAGATGGATTGAGGTGGATACACGTTTATCCAAACAAGGCCTAGAGGGGTGTTGCTTGTAGCCTTGTACTACTAGCAGCCTAGTACTAGAATCTCTAGACATTACTATAAGGCAACAGTAGTGTTTTGTTCAGTAGAATGTGTTACGAAGATGCTAGCTTCCCCAACTATTGAAATTTATTCAACTAAAATGCTACTGGGTGGGGGTGTTACCTCAAGATTCTAAGCCTTCCTAGTGTTATCCTATTATATGAAGTGAATATTTTCAAAGGCATACTTTCACAGATGTAATATTACATTCAACTGGAACATATGCAATTGAATGACAGATGACTAAGAAATGTGCAGCACAGTGGACATATATTACACAACATTATATGGTGCACTACAATGGTTGGAAATAAGTACCAACTACTGAACTGAAATGGACAGGATATTAAGTACATATGAAGGGTGGAATAACAAATAGTTCTTCATGTCCTACGAGTAGCATAGTGCTACTTTATTATTACAACCACCATGCCTGGTAATAGTAGATTAAAGAGTACTAAGGTCTCTGCGCTGTGCAGAGAGAGAGAGAGAGGGGAGGGGGAGGAAAAGGGGTTGGGGAGGGGGGGCCTGGACCTAACCATGGTAGTGACACTGAGAAGTAATGACATCTACATGAGTGGGGTGACCCAAGACAATAAAAATTTATCTATGGGTCCATTGTGTTAATGAGTTACACAGCAGTGCTTGGTTACTCCAAAGCCTTCTTTGGAGTCCCCAATACTGTGTTTGGAGTGACAGGAGGTAGTGCCAAGTGCTAAAAACAAACATTAGCACTACTCTGAACCTGTGTCTGATTAGGGGCACAGGCTCTCCTTAGAGCCTTGACCACCTAGATGCAAGCTATCAACTGAAAGATCAAATAAAATGTTAGTTGGTGCATCTAATCATTTGCAAAGAAAAGATGGGTTGGTTACACAAGAAGTCGCTGGTCATATATCAAATGCATTTGGTCTAGGTAACAGCAGGACTATAGAAGGGTAGGTTTTGCTAAATGGTTCATGCTTCAACAAGAAATGCCATGCCTAAGCTAGGTACAGTTGGGATTCTACTGATGAAATGTGGAAGTGGCATGCTAGTTCAATCAGATTTTGTTGTCATTGTTGTCCAATTTGACTAGTATCAGCATGAACCCTCCCTGGGCCATGCTTGACTGTTAGTTTCTTTTAGCTACAGCCTTGTCTTGCTACGGCTGAAATTAACTCTCCCAGATAAAGTCCTTCCTTGGACTATTGTTAGAATGGTTGGGGTTTGTACTTGTCTGTTAGAGCACCCCATCCTTGGGGCGTGAAGCTTTGTGCCCATCCTGGGGCTAAAGCTAATATCCAGTCACCACATGACCATGTGGGATATGGAGGTGAGCACTTTGGCTGATAAACATGATCTACAATAGTGCCTTTTGGTGTTAGAGATGGATGCATGGACTCGACATGTTGGAAACGAGACATTACAGCAACGATGAGAAGGGAGACCATGGTTAGGCCAAGGGTTGCTCTGGAGCAGCGGACACTGCAAAGTGTGAAGGAATCAACCGGTAAGGATGAGCAGCCTGTGTTGGAGTTGGCAGGGTTGGAGCTGTGAGTGCCATAGTCATGCCTGTTTAATGGGGATACACACTGTCAAGATATTAGTATCACAACTTAGCAGAAAGAAATGAATCAAATAATTCTGAGAACATTGGAAGTGAGTTTCTTATCAAACCAATGCAGGCCTATTATTTTTATCACACTTTCTACTGTTTTCAATGCATGCACAATAGTTTACATTCTTGCATTGTAACTTGACAGATTGAAAAATGAATGCTGGTAGGTTATTAGAACAATATGTGAGTTTAGAATTTGCATCAAGTGCTACATTAAGCTAGGATGACAAATGCACAATTAGATGACTTTTGAACCCCTTTTATAATGTTTCTAATTAGATATCAAGAAGAATGAAGCTAGAAATACCTGCTTGGGCTTGAGGGCTTGCTGCTAGTGACAATGGTCCTCCATACTGCTGAGCAAAGCCGGTCACAGCTGCAGCTGTAGAAGATGCAGTTGAGAAGTGGAACATTTGTGGGTATTGCAAGTCGTAGCCTTGTCCACTTGTATAGTTGGTAGTATTGTTTCCTGATTGCCCAAACTGGAAATATGGATAAAAGGGACTTGTTCCTGTCACCATGCCAGCTGCTGCTCCTCCATAAAATGGGTACTGAGCTCCTCCATATATATTGTAGAAGTTCTATTTAACAGACAAGAGAATCCAATTTAAGTATTTATATTTTATATTGTGCTCATGATAAAAAAAAAATCTGTTTTCTACCACTCTTTCCATTTGTAAGTATCTGATGTTTTAGAAAGCTTAGTATTATCTACTACTTGGTACGGTGCAGATGCTGATAGCACAGTGGTTGAGCTCGCGAGGTGCGGAGCTCCCCACTAGGTGCTGCATGGTTATGTGCCCACCTCCCTGGTTGAAACAGTGCAGATGGTTCCGCGGCTGCCAAAGAAGCGTGCGCGCGTGAGGTTCCTGCCTGTTTCCCGGGTTTGGTGGGCCCCCCTTCTTAAGACTAAAGCCAAAGGGGAGTCTCTCCCCTTGATCAAGTTTTTTTTCCCCTACTTGGTATGTGAACCCAAGCACCTTTTAAAAGATATATGATTTATTACAGTACTCCAGGAGTCCAGGTTGGGGTCTGCCTTTGGTTTTTATAGCTTATTTGGTTAACAATGTGTCTACTGACTAGAGATTCACAGACTAAGGCCCCGTACCATTTGTGGCTGGGTAAGATAAAAGTTGCTGGGACCAGAAACCACTATGTATTCCTCATGTCATTGCTTAATATAGAGAGTACATGTTTTTCAGTGGACATGGCTATAGTAGAGACTAGAGACTGGGCCCTTCATCATCTAGAACAATTGTTTTGAGGAAGACTGGAAAACAATTGGCTGTCCACGACTCCACGAGCAGATATTTGACTCTACTCTACATGATAGTACCTCTTTCCCTCTCAAACTTGAAGAAAGGAAATGATTTTGAAATTATAGTTTAGATGATTTAGCTCATATTATTGTCATTATGCAGGAAAGGTAGGCAGAAGGTGAATCTTTTTAGGAGCAGCTCTCTAGCAGTGCTCTAATATGTGCCTTTAATTTTTATGTGAAATCATGTGGCAGTTAATCTTGCTTTAGATTTTTCAGATAATACTGTCGTATTCTTGCATCTTCATGTTATATTTCTTGATGATAAAAAGTGACCCAAAACTTTTTTTTTATCATGTTCAAGCAAAAACTGGCACGAATACAACGGCTTTTGGCTGAATATGTCGTCATTTGATGTTTTTCTTTGATGGGCTGCACATACTACTGCAGTTCTGTTTTAAGAAAAGGTGCATGCTAACAGTCAGTCTTTTTAGAACTTGTTTCACGCATAAAGGAATCATACATTAAACACACAAGAGCTGAATGCCAACCCTCAAGTTTTGGTCTGAAAGGTTGCTGAAGCTAAAATGATCGGTAATTCTGGCTTTCATGAGGAAAAAAAAAGACAGGTAATTCTTACATTATTTTCTTATTGTGTGCCATATGCATTTATTTTCCTTCTGTGGAACATTGTGTTATATAATCATATAGTATAGCCAGAAAAATTACACTGCAATTTTCCGTGCATTATGATGCATAATGCAAAGATGCTTTTGATGCACTCAGTGACATGCATGCTACTGCACTAATTAATTCATGGTGAAATAAATAAAAGCAACCATTTTATTGTACTGTTGGTGAAGTAAATAGAGCTTATTAGCAATATAATTAGGTACTTACTGTTGGATAACCGTAGTCTGGGGTATATGGAGAGTACCTGCAGAGTGAAGGATAGAAGGGGATATTAGTTTTTTCCTTAAAAATTAATTATGAAACTTTGTTCCGTTCTAAATGTGCTAGAGCGAGCTACTTGATTTCTAAGGGAGAGAGAGGTCGTTGCTATCTCATCTATGCTTACTGTTCACGGGAGTGAGCATATGACAGGGCTCCCATCATGTGCCACTAGCACGCATGGCTACTTTATGCGTGTGTGAGGGACTGAGGATATGTCT